TTCTGTGATTTCAAAAATAAACAAAATCCACATTCAGTATTTTATATTACTTCTATTCTTTATCTTTGAATTCGTGCTGAATTTTGTTCCGTATTGAATAAAAATTACATGTCGAATCTTTTGTTTAATTTGAAATTTATGTAGGAAAAAAAGGTTGAATTAAAACAAAAAATTAGTAAGGAAAATCAGTGTTGTCTTTGAGTTGTTAAGTTTTCTTTGTGAGTGATAATTAAAGAGAAAGATTTGGATCGGAGACACGGTGGTGTCTTGCGCCATGTTCACGCTTAAATTCATGCGTAACGTGACGCTAGGGGCTTATAAAAGACTTTATTGACTAGAATTTTTTCTTCATGGAAGACAATTTAAAATTATTAAAAAAAATCAATGAATTTAAAATGAAATTTGTAAAAGTAAATAAAATATTAAATGAAAGTAGTAAAAACAAATTGAAAATGATGAAAAAAAAAAAAAATCTAAATGAGAAATTTTTTCGTCGGAGGCTTATCTTTCTCCCCTTATCTTATAATAAAAATTATTTAAATGTAAATGAATTTTTTTATTTGAAATGAACTTTAGAAAAGTTAATCTATTTTTTATGATAGCTTTTATTTGTGAAAGGAAAAAAAATAAAGGTTTCGATGAATATGGAAAATACATCATATAAAAATGAGAATGACGAGAAAGCTAAAGCAGAAGGTAGATGCGAACCGACGGGACAAGAGTAAGAGGAGGAGGAGGAGGAGGTGAAGGTGGAGTAGGAATGAGAGAGCATTCGAACCCCACATATATTCATCGATCCATCCCAGGTTTCACGTCCTCGAGGACGTCACGAGGGTCGAGAAAAGACCAGAGAATACTCCATACCATTTTAACTTTATTCATCGTAATTATACAGTGAACCTATATGAACCTATGACTGTACATTTAGTTACTTTTTAATAAGACCGGCAATTTTATTGTATGCACGTGTATGCTGTCTCTTTCCAATCCATGTTTTTGTTTAAAAAAATGATGATATTTTTTCGGAACAAAGTTGTATTGAATGGTACAATAGGTTATTATTTGGTTGATTGCAGGCGATACTAAAAAAGTAAAACTTTTCCAGCATTATAAATACCATTAATCATTTTTCTTCCCCGAGATAGTGCTGGGGACGGTAAAAAACGTATCAACTTTGATAAAGTGTACCAAGTAAGTTAAAGCTGTAATTTTAAAAGTTTTATTCTTGTTCCTCACAAAATAAATAAATTAATAATATTGATCGGATCTACCGTGGTTATTTTCACAATAAAAATATTCAAAGAGAATTGGTGGCTGCATTTGATATATTTTTTCGATAAAATGAATAAATAGAAGAAAAATAATAAAGCGAATTGAAAAATATCAATTTCGACAATTGGTGGATACGCTATTTTATAATATAACGAGTTTTCGTGTAGCCTTCGAGCTTTTGTCACGCACAGATACGCATCAATAATAAAAATACATCAATCTGTACTAAATATTCATACAAATTTATAAAATAATTCAATTATCCATTATATTTAAATAATGCATCGAGAACAACTATAAATGGAAAATGAATATGGCTTAATTGAATGTGACCAAGCAGAACGAATAAATATAATTTTTGTTTTTATTACAAAAAAGTAATCTCCCGTGAAAAGGCTGCAATGTAGATGTGAGTGTAATGGTATTTATTTTTTAGTTTTATTTAAACTCTTTCATCCGCAGTAAAATCTTAAAATTTTGTCCGGAACCAGTTAAAGTACCTGTCCGCAAAGTTTAATCCCGTTGCACGTAGCAGTTGCTGTTCTGTAGACGAGTCGCTTAGGATGAAGCGTTATTTAACATATAAGAGACAACTGAAATTGCTAACGTGCAGGCGAAGAAGCTAACCAGCGAGCTGCAAAATAAGAGTGAGAACAAAGAGAAGACTGTAGTTGTCTAAATGAGACAAAAGACAGAAGACAGGAGGAAAAGTGAAGTGAATACTGAATGGAATGTAAGTAAATGAGAGAGCAAAGAAGGGTAGAGAACCAACAGCACTCTAGGAGTTTATGCAAAGCTTATGCCACGCCAAATGCGGTTACATCTGCGTAGGGCTTTGCGATCCGGCAAGTCACCATCCAATGAAAGTAGCACGCCAACCGATGCGGCAAGATGGAGTCGTTAAATTCACCACATAAACCCTGAAAGATAAAATTTAAAAAGTATTTTTAACAAAAATCAAGAACTAAGGTATGTTGTGCCTCTCTGTGCATGAAAAAAAAAAAAAAAAAAATCAAATTTAATGACCCATTGGGAGAAAGAATGAAGAAAACTGTTTCTATTTACGCTTAATGTTTTTTCCTTAATATCTAAATGGAATATTAAATTTTTTAATGTTTTTAACAGAACAGAATGTTTGTTTTAATTAACGCTATTTTTTATTAATATTTATTTAAATTGAAAATGAAACAGATTAATTTTAGCTGGAGGAAACAAGAAACAAACTGCAGTAATTGGAGTGGAATGAGTTCAGATTCTGTGCAAGAACTCGAGCAGTTTTCTGCTGTAAATCTTGTCTGCAGGGTTAGGGTGGAAAAATGAAACTAAGTAGTGAAATATTAAATTAATAAAAAGGAGAGAAACTTTCGATGGTCAGAGATGACATTCGTCTTAACTATGGCAACAATTGTGTTGAATGTAAATTTATGTTAAAGTGCTAAGAGGGTGGATAAGATGACTCTACTCAAAATCAAGATGGATTTCTTTAGTACTGTAAGGTTGAGTAAAGTAAAGTAAAATAACAAAGTGAGGTCTTGAAGGTGCACTCTTGATTCTTATATTTATAATATCTGAAGGTATATACTACTGAAGAGGAAGAGTGTTCCGCGAAGCATGGAACGTTAACCCCGCGTATCTCTGTGTTGCATCGAAATTCCTGCACGAAGGTCGAAAGCCCTGATGTACAAGTAGCATAACACATATATAATAATAACATATATATATATTATATATATATATATATATATATTTATAAGAGTAGAGGCATCGTTTGCAGAGTTAAAAGTTGCCGAGTATAAGTATGAGTACAAGAACGAAAAGGAATCTTATTGCAGCAAAGGGTCTGGCTGTTAGTATAGAGGCTTTGGATAAAAGTTGTTGATGTGGATTGTGGATTGTGGATGTTGATGTTGGTTTTCTTCCTGGAGACGAACCACGGCGGTTGGTCTTTGTGTTAGGTTCGGCTTCCTTGCTTCTTAGAAAACTAAATAATAAAATAAAAGCAAAATTAAGAGAGGATGCAAGTCGTGTTTCTTGGGGTTCGTTCGTCGTTCGTCGTTCATCGTTCTTGCTCGTTGCCACCGTAAATTTATCGGGATAGGGAGTCCCAGCCAAGACTGGCAAGTGGTCCGGGTTGGTCTCTAGCCAGAATATACACTTGTACACTTATACACTTATACACTCGTGTCAATATATGTATGTATGAGCAAGAGAGAGTACTCGATGATTCAATGGAGATGAGAAGTACTGTGGGAGGAGAAGGAGCGATAACCTTCAAGCTCGTGACCTTGGTCTTTCACCGCTTCTCCATCTTTTACTCTTACTCCTATTCCTCGTTGTCCTCGTTGTTGTTTTTTCCTTTTGCTTTGTTTTATCTTATTTTATTTAGTTTTCTTTTGCTTTAGTTGAGACTTTAGCTCCTACTTCTACTACTCCTACTACTCCTGCTCCAGCTTCTTCGTTCGATTGGTAGTCCTGAGCTTTGTCGGTCTTTGTCTCCACAACTTGTGCTCGCAGGATATCGGAGTGGTTGGGTGAAACATGGCTAGGCTGAAGCGATTTAATTAAAGGGTCGAGTATCCAAAGGTGGTGGGTGGAAAAGAGTCGATTCAAGAGAGAACGAAGGTCCTTGTGCGCGTGGGAATCTCCTTAGAGAGTGGATGAATTCTATCCAGTCAATTTAGTTTGTCTAACGTTGGCAAAACACGACAGACACCACCTTTATTCAGTGTTTTATAATAAACGTTTAGAATCTCAAGAATTTCTTTCATTTATATTCTCTTTCTATTACCTTTCTTTGCAGAACAATTAATTTTATTGATAAGATGTTTGAATTGATAATCATTTTATTATGATAGCTATCACTTTTATTAAAATTGCAAAGCTAATGATTTTAATAAGACTTGAGTTTTTATTGTTGTTCAGACGAAGTTTGCTTTAGACAAAGTTTGCGGAAAAAATTTCTGCTTAATATAGTTTAAATTTTAATTGAAATTATTTTCTATGATGAAAATTCTATTGCTTTTTTTAAATTTTTACTGTTCAACGTTATATAAATGGATACTGAAAAAATTATGAGTTGATTCAAGAGAATAAAATTTGAATCAAAATCATTTTAAACAATTTGATCATCTTGTATCAAATAAAACTTATTTGAACAAAGAAAATATTTTCTGTCCAAGTTTTTTAAGCTTGGTACCAGACAAATTTTTTTGTGGCTCAAAATTAATTTTTTGTGAGGAAGTTTCAGGTATTTTAATGTTCAAATAGCAACCTGTAGTCATTAGTGTGGGTTCTTTTGAAATTAATTTAATTATTAATATTGCTATGATAATATCAATTACCAATAATTTAATGAAAAATATGATGGAATAAATTTATAAAACCAACAAACTATTGAAAACTCCTCCAGAAACTTTAAATAAAATATTGACTATCATTGAAAAATATATCATCGTAAAAAGGCACAAATTCAGACCAAGACCTTTTCTATGATACTAAATTAAATTAAAAAAAATTTCATTTTATCATATAAATACGTTCGAAACAATTTTATAGATGATACTTTTGTGTATTCAATATTTTTTTTGCTAAAACTAGAGTAATTCTAGTAAAAAATAAAGGACAATTTTATTTATGAGATTTTATTTCACACAAAATTGATGAAAGCAAACAGCAATCTAATAAAAATTGTATTTTTTTTTTGTTACAGGGATGCCGGTTGACTGAAGATGGCCTCCCCGACACCCTCGTTGGAATCACGCGCAAATTCCCTCGGCTCCCTGGTTTCGTTATCCCCGGTGACCGTGAGCGGGAGTTCACCACCAGCAAGCGACTCAGCGATCTGTGACGTCGACAGTTGTGATATCTGCCTGGACACAGGCAAACCGGGCGACGGAACTTGTAACTGTCGTCTCGGACGCGGAGTAAGGTGTACAGGTTGTAAATCCACCGAATCAGACGCGGTAGCACGTTGTTTCGATTGTGCTAATTTTCTCTGTCCCAATTGCGTAATGGCGCACCAATTTATGCACTGTTTCGAGGGGCACCGAGTTTTGAACCTCGGCGAATCAAAGTTGGAGGCTAACGCCGAATCACGGGGGAATTTGATGATAACTAACGGCAGCAACGGAACAACAAACGGTGAAAAAGCACTCTACTGTTTGCGTCACAAAAACGAATTACTTAAATACTTCTGTCGTACGTGCAATGTTCCTGTTTGCAAGGAGTGCACTTTGAGCGAACATCCGGCGTCGGTTCATGATTGCGGGCACATTACCGAAGTTGGTTCACAGCAACTTGAATTGGTGTCAAGAACAGTCGCCGATTGTCGAGCGAAAGCTTCCGAAATCCGTACCGCGATAAAAGCCGCTGACCATGGTGTCACTAAATTACAAGTTCAGTATCACAAAGCCCAAAATGAAATAAGCGACACCTACCAGTTTTACCGATCGATGCTGGAAGAGCGAAAGCAGGAGCTCCTTAAAGAACTTGAATCAGTATTCTCCGCAAAACAAATTTCTCTTGGTGTAATCACGCAGAAAGCCAATGAAATGGTTGATAAAATTCAACAGACATGTGAGTTTGTCGACAAACTAACTAAATTCACAACTATCACCGAGGTTCTGATGGTGAAAAAACTCCTGGATTCAAAACTCCAACAATTATTGAGCTACACACCTGAAATCACAAACCAGTCGGATTTGGAATTTGTTAGCAACTACCAGGCAATCCAGGTGGGTGTGAGGAATACTTTTGGGTACGTAAGAAGCAGCGCCGACAGCAACAGTATGGGACCCAGCAAGCAGCCACCAATAGCACGACCAACGGCCCTAACAAATGGAAATAGCGGTGGAAGCAACGCCAGCAGCGGCCCCGGTAGTGCAGGATCTCTCGGGGGTTTACTTTTGGATCGTCCCTACAGCAATGGCCTAGTATCAACCACTGCAACTTGCGCTTCGACTTCGCCCTCCTCTTTCGAGAGCAATGTAATCTCGAAGAGGTTCAGCACGGCAAACAGCCTCGGGCCATTCTCAACCACAATAACAGATCTTAACCTAAACGGGATGAATAATCCATACGAAAAGTGGAGCAATGGAGGTGGAAGCGATGCTTATTCAGTTAATGCAAATGATCACTTTGCAATATCAAACACTAATGGCGGTGGTGGTCCTACCGCAGCAGACTCCGTCCTGGATCTTACATCGAAATTAATGTCCGCGGCTATTGTGTTCCCACCAAAGTCACAGATAAAACGTCAAAAAATGATTTATCACTGTAAATTTGGTGAATTTGGTGTTATGGAGGGACAGTTTACCGAGCCATCAGGTGTTGCCGTTAATGCGCAGAATATTATTGTTGCTGACACGAATAATCATCGCATACAGATATTCGACAAGGAGGGAAGATTCAAGTTCCAATTTGGAGAGTGTGGGAAGCGTGACGGACAACTTCTGTATCCGAATCGTGTCGCCGCAGTGCGTCCTTCTGGTGATATTATTGTGACAGAACGGTCACCAACTCATCAAATTCAAATCTACAACCAGTACGGACAGTTTGTGCGTAAATTTGGTGCAAACATTCTTCAGCATCCCCGCGGTGTTACCGTTGATTCAAAGGGTCGTATCGTTGTGGTCGAGTGCAAAGTTATGCGCGTGATAATATTCGACCAGGCCGGAAACGTCCTCCAGAAATTTGGATGCTCAAAGCACCTCGAGTTTCCAAACGGCGTGGTGGTTAACGACAAACAGGAAATATTCATAAGCGACAATCGCGCACACTGCGTCAAAGTTTTCAACTACGACGGTGCTTATTTAAGGCAAATTGGTGGTGAGGGCATCACCAATTACCCAATTGGAGTCGGAATTAACGCCGCTGGTGAAATTCTGATCGCTGATAATCACAATAACTTCAATTTAACAATCTTCACCCAAGACGGACAGTTAGTATCTGCCTTGGAGAGCAAAGTTAAGCACGCTCAGTGTTTCGACGTGGCGCTAATGGATGACGGGTCAGTGGTACTTGCCAGCAAGGATTACCGACTGTACATCTACCGGTACATCCAAGTACCGCCTATCGGTATGTAGAGCCGTGGGTGATGGGCCGCGACTCACCGCGACCGGACTACGCTTAGCCAACCTCAGTATCAAAATCAACTACAATCTAAACACAATCGTGATAAGCGAACCGGTAACGTTGAGTCCAGCCCCGATACGTGCACACCGTCGGTACGTACATCTGCGAATCCAATCTCCAAGACGGACACCAATCAAGATAAATTCCGACTACATCGAGTCAACCATCAACATCAAAATCAGCATCAGCAGCAGCAGCAGCAGCAGCAGCAGCCACAACCGCATCATCAAAATCATCATCACAATCACAATCAACGCACTCAAAATTCAACTGACTTGGCTGTTAACAGCGCGACCCGCTGGTCCAGCTTACCAGTCAGGATCCTCCAGGACCCAAAACGACTTGATCGTAGCAATGGTATTATCAACGACGAGCCGACGTTAGCAGCACCCTCTCGCCGAGCCCAGTTTTCTTTGGCTAGCCATCGTGCCCGCGGAAGTGACTCCAGGGATTCTTAGCAGCGTCACGACTTTTCATTCCCATCATCTTCACCATCATCATAATTATTATCATTAATATTATTATTATTACTATTATAACTAATATTATTATTATAATCTTCATCATGATCATCGGTCCAATATTTAAGTAAGAGCGTGCGCGGAAAATCTCAGCCTACTAATATACGTATGAGGAGAGAATGAGAGTATCTCTGAGAGACGCACAAGACGATGCTCCGTAAGTTATTATTGTGAAGAAAAGTAACTAAAAAAATATACAAATATTTAAGATAAAAAAATGATGTAAAATATTAAATTTAAAAGTAATGAGAATAAGAGTAGGCGGACTCGGAAACGACCGAGACACACGTCGTACACACGCGCGAAACTTACTTGTTAATGTTGTTATAACTGAAAATACTGTTGTTGTTGTTTAGTTGTAGAGCTCGCCGCCGCTAGTCACTCCCTTTAAGCCCTTATTACCCCAATTCCCAGATGATAACTCGGCCCGGTTCCTCAAACTCTCGGAAGTTTAGACCTAAAACCCAAAACCCAAAACCCCAAAACCAAAATTGCCAACGAGGACTCGACGTTTTGTCAAACGCGAGTAGAGGTTGTACCAAGTAAACATAAACCTTAACTTAATATTTACTTGATACTAACCCGACTATCCTTACATTAGCTTCCCGTATTTTTTAGACCCCCCCCCTCCCCCCCTCCCCCCAGAATATAATTATCGAAATAAAATTATCGTAGCGTGCTCCCCGATTATATTTCCAACCTCGAGAGCCTTCGTCGTCTGATCTAATCAAATAAAACTCAGTTTTTCGTTAGTATTTATTTGTCCAGAATGATGATCTCTGTTTGGGAACAAGGCCGTTAATTAACGCTCGCTCTCGCGATCAATTGTTTTATTTTCTTTCGGTATCATCAAACACCGATCAATTTATCAATTGATTAATAAAATAAGCTATTGAGAGGCGCCGTATTAGCGATCAAGACACGCAATATGAGTATTAAATAATAAGGACTAAGTATCGAGCTTCAATTACGCCATTAAGTCCGTCGAACCCTGTGTTATTTTTTTTTGTTGCTCTGCTCCTTCAGATAAAAATTTATCCCCGATATAATACCGAGTTTCTCAATGCAAGACACAGGTCGGTCGTTGGTAGTCACTGCTTAGGGTCCAGCGACGGCACAAGTCGTTGATTAATCATGTTAATTATTCCACTTTTTTTCTACGCGTTATTTGATTATTATTATTATTTTTTTAATATTATTAATTATTAAATATATAAATAGCTAATTATTAATTAATTATATGAATATATTACCTCGGATGAGAGCCGTGATGCGGATGGTGATACTCGCAGCCGAGATGTATGAATATTTGCATTTAGAAAAATATTTAACAAACGTGACGTTAATGTTAGTAGTTTTTTAATTATCCATCGATAATGATTATTATTATCATAATTATTTTTAATAAATAAATAATAAATATAATATGTTAGTCTAGTAGATCTTCGAGTCTAATTGCGTGACAATCTCTCCTTCTCTCTCTCTCTTTTTTCTCAATTATTATTTCAAACTATTCGTATTCGTCAAGCGTCTGCTGAATTGAGAAATAATCTTGAGGATGTGACGAAAAAAAAAAAAATTTCTACTAATAATAAATAAATAATAAAAAAATAAAATTATCTGTCGGACCAAATAATAATTATTTAGAATAAAAAAAAAATTAACAACAATTGTTATTGTTTTATTTATATTATTATTTTTTTTATTATGCTAGGATCGAAATGAACTTTTTTTTAATCGTCTCTCCTCAGTAAGCTTAGACCCTTCGGTCTGTTTGATTGTTTTTTTTTACTTGTATTTTTATTTTTATCTGTAGTGTTATTTTATGTAGTTGGTAGTTGTAGTGAATTCAAGTACAATTAAGGTTTGTTTTGTGCACTTAAATATTATTATTATTATTATTATTATTATTATTAATTATTAATTATTAATTATTATTATGTTTACCCCTGTTATGAATGATTAATGATAAATACGGTTAACACTGCCGATTTTTTAAATGTTGATAATGTTTAGTGAGAATAAAAATTTTTCTTTTTTTTTTTACTCTCTCAAAGCAACTAACTTGTCGCGATTTAAAATTATTCAGGATTCAACAGTATGTTAATGAACAAATTGTGCTGTTTATTATTATTATTAATATTATTATTATTTTTCTTTCCATTATAGTATTAATATATTTTGTTGGATGAGTCACGTTAAAATGGTGTGAGATTACCTGTCACGTTGACTTCATGCATGTTTTCGATTTACAATTATTATTATTACATTATTAATTATTGTGTATTATTATTATGTATTATTAATTATTGCTACTATTATTAGTTATTATTATGATTGTATTATTTTTATTTAGAAAAAAAAAAAAAAGAAAAAAAACGTCTGTTGACAAATTTCAAAAACGACAAAAATATTTTTTCACATCTAAATTAAAACACACTCGAGTGTTTAGTGGATAAAAATTAAAAAAAAATAGGTGCGAATAATAAAAATAAAAATCGTTATCAATAAGACTGCGAGGCTAGCTGGCAAATAATTAAAAATTTATGGTTTGTGCTTTCATTAGTTAAAAATTGAAATAAAAATAATTACAAAATATCGAGTCGTTGGATCTCAAGACGACGTTGGTCGAAAGTACGGCTCTATTTTTTAGGAAAAAATTAAACTTTTTTTTTCAACTACCCCGAGAATCCTAAATCGATGTGCGGCCTCGATTCAGGACTCTCGAATCAGTTGAGATAATTTAAATCCCTCGGATGATCATCCCGAAGGAAGTGTTTAAATTTGCGACTTGTCCCTGATGGACGCGAAAATATTCGGTTTGAATTTAGAGATTTTACTATTAATTTATTTTTTCATCGGGGTAATGATCAAATTTATTTTTAATCCATAATTGTTTTTATATTAATTGCTATAAGCTTAATTAAAAAAAAAAAAAAAAATAATACTCTGAAATTGCATTTATTTTTTCCGATTCTGCCAGGCTATGATTTGCTTTGTTTTTTATTTATTTTATTCCTTTTAAAAACGTTGAGTAGAAAAAAAAACATGATTCACGCTGGCTCTACTTTAAATTCTTCATATTTCGCCATAACACAGTTCAATATTTCACTCAATCAAAAAAAAAAAAAATAAAAAAATAGCCGGTCTAAAAGAAACATTTCTCACGAGCTGACGTCAAGCCAAAGATTGAAAAATATATTTTTATTTGATAGTTATTTAAAAAAATTTGGCTTTCACTTGTTTTTTTGAGATTAAATAAATTTTTTTAACGTGTGAATTATGTTTAGAAAATTTATTATTTATAATTATTATTATGTGTTAGTTCAATCAAAAAAAAAAAAAATTTTATTTATAATTGAATGATCTAATTAATAAAGCCATTGTGTGTCTAAAATTTTTTTCACGCCAGCTAGCCGTCGGATATCATCCCCCAGAGAGTTGGCATGTAGAATAGGAGGAGTAAACAGAAACTAAAACATTCTTTTAATGATGCTAATTATTATTGTTTAATGAGTAGAACGATAATAAAGCGAGAAAAAGAAAATAAACGATAATAGTAAGAAACACAAATCATAATAGTTATGTTTCATTTAAAAAAATATACAAAATGTTTTGTTTAGTTTGCGTAGATACAGAATAATTTAAAAACACAAAAAACAACGAATGTTTCAATCTCTTTTTTGTATGGTTTGTTATGTTATTATTATTATTATTATTAATAATATTATTATTATTTTAAATGATACAACTCAATTGTTCTTAATTTAAATGTAAATCGTATTGTTTGTTTTTTTTAGTTAATTTTTTTTGTTGTAAAATGCTTTTTAATAATATTTTCAGTTCATATTACATATCTTGGTGTTTTTATTTTTTTTATGCATACAATTTTTTTTTTTTTTTACAAATTTACTTTTTGTGTACGTGTGTGCAAAACCTCAACCCAATTACCATCTTTCCCTTTTGATCAAAACTTCCTCCTATTCCCAGCATTTTCGATCACGTTCACAAAGCTAAATATCGAGTGCAGTGAAACGAAAAATTTTACTTTTTTTTACTGAAATATGTAAAATAATGCATTCACCAATGCATTTGCTTGGAATGTACTTTTTTTTTTTACCATTAGTAAGGTGATTTTTTTACATTCCATTAGATTATTTTACTTTATTTATACTTTTAGTTTTTATATTATTTAGTTTGCACTACATGTGTTTGGTAGTCTAGAGTGAGATTCTATATTCTTTTTTTAAAACTTCTATCTATTTTGCTCTCTAACAGAATTTATTGGTTTTATTTAATATTTAAAAATACGCCAACGTTGTTTGGATTTTAAAGTTCTTTTGAGATCTGTACAGAAACACGTGCTGGAGATTTTTTAATTTTTTATCAACTCTATGCCATGAAATTTTTATTTTGCAGTGTTTATTATTCACATTTTCTGTCAAAAATTTTTATGAGTAGTTGAATTTGAGACAGTTTGGATCTTGAAAATTTTGAATTTTTTTTTTTTTAGTCAAAAATTCAGTTTAAATTTTCAGACTTAAGTTTAAATTTAAAATTTTTAAAAATATAATAAAACCATAAAAAATTTTTTTTGTAAGAAATTTAATTGTTGACAAAAAAAGTCATTAATTTTAATCTATCACAATTTAATTAAAGAAAATTTCACACTGATAAAAAAAAGACAAAAATTTAATTTATTAGTATACTTTTCAATTAAAAAAACTGAAAAAAATTCAAAATTATCTCCTTGAAGCTTCGAGTTATCTCAAATTATTATTCATAACTTTTAAGAGAAAATAAAATTTTTATAAACAAAAATAAAGTGAATCTCACTTATAGGCTCCATTAGTTTATTTTTAGTTATAAAATATATTTATTTATAATTTTGCTGATATTTGAATTGATTGCTCGGCTGTGTTTGCACCCAAACTCCAAAGTCCATTCCAGTATCAAGTAAGTATTGTAAACCTGTAGTTATTTTAGCTTGTCTTATAATCTTCAACCTTTATTTTACTCCTAACACTTATATTTACCAATTAATAATTTAATTACTAATATTAATGGCACAAATCTAAAATTATATAATTTTTTTTTTTGAATACGATAAAATCTGGACCCTAAAAATCCAAAATTTTGATCCTAAAACCAATGGCTTAATTGAAGACTTATTATTTCATTAACATGAAATTCTAAATTGAAATATATTTGGTCGTTGAGTGAGCGTTATTTAAGAGGAAGAAAAAGTAAATGAATAAATAAAATATAAATAGGAAATTTAAAAAGGGAAGCGTCGGAATAGGCGATCACGTCGAACGATCACTTTGTTACCTAGCAACGCGAAATGATAAAATTT